GCATGAAGTGATGGTGGAGATAATGAAGATTCTCTGCCCCGAGTCTGCTGCTTCTCCAGAAGTCTGTGGGTTCAATCAACCCTGCTTGGAGGACTGGTTACACTGGGGTGTGTTGGGTGAGAATAGGAGCCTGGAAATGGACAACTAAATTGATCCTTGACTGTGTTTAAATACTTCCACCTATGCTATATGTATAATACTTCGATATGCATGATGCAAATAACAGTAGGAGCACCCTCACTATATCAATTTTTTTCCAGTCCATTACATAACCTGACAGGTGTTAATTGCAACTTAAAGCTCATCTGATTGTTTTTTCTCATATTTAAGGGAGAACAAAGACCTATGATATTAATGTCTGAAGATGATCATGTTGCTTGATGTTGAAAAGACTTATTTAGTCATTAGTCACTTGTGCTCAGGGATTTATTAGTCATGCTAATGTCTCCAATTAGTTGAAGGACAGAGAGCATAATTAGGGCACTTTTTCCCTAATTACTTTTAACTGTATACATGCAGTTTACTGTTGAGTGTGAGGCTAGCTGAAGTGTTGTAACAATAAGTGTGTTAAGAAGTGAGGTCTCTTTCTTATTTATAAAATCATTAAAATCAGAATTAACACTTGCAATAATAGATGTAAAATAACATTGTGACATGGAACATAAATGTTTTAAGGTTTGATGTCACATTTTTGTTCTAAATCATTGTCTTTCTGGACATACTGAAAAAGACCTACTGAGTGAACTATGTTGGAAAAAAATATATTTTACAGTAAATGCAGAGAGGATCAAGCATTATGTTCTGTGTATAGTGAAATAACCTTTAGATTAACTTGGAAAGGAAAAGATTTTCTCTTTAATTAAGTTTGCCTTTCTTCCTGGGAATGTGAAAGAGAGGGGGAAGTGCTATTGTTAAAGTGAGGATGGAGTTAATGGACATTAATCTTCATGTGTTTGTTAGATTTATTTTGACTGCAAAGAAGTAAAGGGGTGCTCAGCCCAAGTTAGCTGTTGCTAAATATTTGAACAGCATACCTGAATTTAACATTTTATTTACTGGTTTGGAATGATATTTGCTGTCTTCTGTCTTTCCTTCTACCCCATTCCAAACCCTGGAGAAAAAGCTGGGCTTTGTGATGTGGGACACACAGAAACTTGGGTAAAAGGTCAAGAGTTTTGAACCATCTTGTTCTCCAAAGTGATTGTTTCTTTAAAGAACATGGTCTAGCAACCTCAGTTAGATCCTGATAACACCATCTCAACTGATCCTGCTGACAGTGTAATCTGAAGGGGTTTCTACCTTGAAGCAGAGTAGTTCAAATTTATTTAGTGTGACAAAGATCAGTCATTCAGATTACTAGAGATTAGTACGTACACAGTGTCTATCTTGCTGCCTTTGTGTATTTAGGTGCTCTGTTGGGGGAACTTTATGCGACTCCCCCAAAACATCTGGTTTGAGAATTCAAGTTGGCAGGTATTGTGTGCTCTGCTTCACTGGAGGGCATACAGAAGACTTTCTACATATTCTGGTCACTTCCTTTTTCCAGCCAGCATCATTCCTTTCTTATCTCAGCCCTATAGCTGCACGTCAGTGGCTATGGCTTAGGAATCAAAAGCGTAGAGCTGAGTGCCATCAGCACTGCAGAGACATTATAGTCTTTATTGCATGCTGAGTGGTCTTGGGCACATTTTAAAGAAGAATTGAAAAGATGGTATTCTGGTAGCAAGGTGGATTAACCACAGTCAATCATCTCTGGAAAGGACAGTGAGATAGTCTGGTTCCTCCACGTTTGGTTATGTTAATTTCTGTTCTGTGTTGGTTCATTTGCTGGTTTATCTAACGGATTAGTGAGCCACAAGCTCTCATTAACCTAGTGTACTGGTATCAAAGTCTAGTGTATTTATTTTCTAGTAGTTGGCACTTTTTTCAGTGTATGATATTTTCTAGATAAAACCAGATAGTTCTGTGTCAATAGTAGAAAATGCACATTTTAAGCCAAGACTTGTCCGACACTAAGTAAAGAAATGTTGCTTCTAATAAAAGTGCCTCCTTAAATTGATTTACTTAGTAGTGGCTGGAAAAGCTGTCAGATGTTGGGATGGATTTTTTCCTCTCCCCTTGGAATTGCATTATTAATAACTTTCTGTAAACTATCAGTGCCCTCATCTGTACACCTATTTGTAGTTCAGAGTTTTAAAATTGGAGGAGGAGCAGAGGTCCTCCAATCAAGCAAGACAGAAAGTGAAAATCTGAAATGTATTTGAATTTGTATTTTTTTCTTGTTAATTTCAAGTTTATTTAAATATAGAGGATAGTGGAAAAGAAGGAACTAGAGAGCAGGTTGCTCAGAGAGGTTGTGCAGTTTCCATCCTTGAAGGTCTGCAAGACCCAGCCTGATTAAGCCCTGGGCAACCTGCTGTGACCTCAGAGCTGGCCCTGCTTTAGCAGGAGGCCAGACTAGAGACCTTTCACAATTCCTTCCTACAAGAGTTGTCCTGTGAATCTATAAATAAAATTAAGAACCCTTCAAAATGTCAAGTTATTTGAGTGACTGCAAGTGGAGGTATCATGGTTTTAACTCCTCTTGGGTTTAGGTGGGAATGGCGTGACCTTTTGTACTTTTCATTTTGGCTAAATCTATGCCGTTGTCAATTGAGATGTGGAAAGAACATTAAAGCAGGACAAAATTGTGTCATCATCACTTCAAATTCTCTGAAAAAAATTGGACTTAGCCTGAGAGTCAGGTGCCATGGGTCTGTACAGAGCTCTGGTAGTTTCACTATACTTTCTGGTGTTTGTGGCATGGAAGACAAAAAGAGGAAGAAAAGGTCAGTTTTGTAGTGGGCATGTCTCTTTCCTTAGAGAGGCTGCTTGTAAATTAAGTTTTACTCCTCATCATCTTAATGCCCCTGTGGAAAGGCTGGGATTGCCTCTGCATTGTTAGCAACCGTAAGCTAATTTTTATAGTAATTAGATGACATAAAGTGCAAGCAGACCAAAAGTATCTTAAAAAAAAAAAAAAAAAAAAAGATGTGTTGTAATGAAACATGAAAGAGATGGCAATAGGTAGCTTTGAGGGAAAAGAGGGTACATTTACAAAACTTACAAAACTTAGCTTCCTCCTTCTTTTAGTGCTCCCATTAGTGGGATCCTGCTAATGGGAAATGTTAAATATTTAATATCTGACATTTCTATAATGTCTATGAAGTGCAGTAAAGATTCAGTATTTTACAGTGCATTTCAACTGAAAAGAATGAAAGCACTTCTCAGACTGTTACAGGGGAAGCTGTCAGTGAACCTTGTATTTAGATTGCATAGTACTTTCAGCTATAATAGACTGTTACAACTTGTTTGCAGCAAGCTAGGTATGAAAGTCCCAATATCCAAGCAGTGCCTTTTGTTTATGCCCTGGGAGCATACTGAGCTGTGGCAAGCTCCCTCTTGCACTTCCCAAATTAAACAGGCATGCCAAAACCACTGAGCAGTTTCCACAGCCATGATAGTCTTAATAGCAAGTGAGACTTGCTAGTGTAGTCTGAGAGGTGATACAAGTTCTTAAGAATACCTACAGTTTTGGTGCATTCCCACAAAGGAGTGCAATAAAAGTCAGGCATGCCTACTCCATCTCTGTCCTTTCCTGACTTCTTCTGTCCTTTCCCCCTGAAGGCGTGGTGTTATCTCCATGTGGAACATGCTGGTGGTCTTCATCCTTGTAGGAAGTTTACTGAAAAATTCCACTCTTAGTTTTGGGGGCAGCATATGTCTGTGTAATTTAGAAGCCTTTAAATCCCTTTCTAGTAATATAGCAGTAACATTTGTAGTTTTGGTGTACCATACAATTTGGTACAAGGACAGTAACTTAATTACTTTCTTTTACTGGAATATCTGTGGTAATGTTAACACTGGAACTGATTTATATGGATTGCATATGTTCTGTAATAATTGCTAGTCAGTGTCCATTTGTGAAGATACATTGTGTGACTGTCAGTTACTACTATCTGTCTGATGCACTTTGTTTGACTTGAAGCCCATAGCAGTTCCCTGAAATAAGCTGGATGAGTAATACAGATTGCAAACTTTAGCACTGGAGGAATGCTTAAATCCACACTCACTTGATTCAGATGGAAAGAAAACTACTTCCAGGCATACTTTGACCTTTTGGTGATATCTTAGTGAATCTGCAGATGCAGCCATGGTATTAAGATTTTTTTCCTAATTACTTAGTGATTAACTATATATTGCTGCTTACCTATTTAAAAGATAGGCAACAAATGAATGTTAAGTGTTTTCTTTGTACATTTGTTTCATCTTGATAAAATAGGTAGCTAACAAATGGTCTTAACTGAAAGGAATGTTATAGCATTTTAACTATACTACATATACATGCAAATACATAATTGACACGACTGCAGCTTCTGCATATGTTTAGTCATAGCACATGGCAGTAATGCTTGTTTGCTTTCTTAAAATTTGAATGGAGTTGAATAAGTATACGAGTCTTACTTTTTTATATCATAGCAAAAACGGAGGCTACTAGGAGGGAGATTCTTTTAATGTTCTTCACACCAAGATATATCTATTACTATGATTAAACATCTCTTAGAAATATTTGTACCATGATTTTAAAATGAAATACACATAGGGAGAAGCTTGGGAATTACATTTTATGTTTTAAAACAGCAAAAGTCTGACAGCAAGAGGATGCCTACTTCTACTTTTATGGGTTTGACTCATGGTTTGAGTTTTTCTGTATGGATGATGTGTTAAGGCACCTCTTGACGTGTTTATTGGCTTACACTCTCTACTGCCTTTAAAAAAACGTTGGTGTTTTAAATAAGGGCCTGCCTCTTTCTGGTGGCACCAGAATGCATTTGGATTTTTATAAAGTACTCTAAATAGTGTTCAGTATTTTATCATTTTCCTCTTCATCTCTTGTGTATTTAGTTTCACTGTTTGTTTTTTTTTCCCCTAACCTTGCTTTTTTTATTCACTCACCATAGAGCTGATAAACCAGATGATGAGGATGATGAGGATCTAACGGTGAATAAAACGTGGGTCCTTGCACCAAAGATTCATGGTGGGGATGTAACTCACATACTGGACTCCTTACTTCAAGGATATGACAATAAGCTTCGACCAGATATTGGGGGTAAGCCCATAAAATAATTCAGTAAATAGAAGATGTGAGCCAGAGATGGTGTGCATTTTGTCAAAGACGGCAAAAAATCTACTTAATGCAATTCTTAAATTTTAACATAGAAGTTAAATATAACAGCAATAAAATGCAGTGATTTTCTGGAACTGGTAAAAATAATGTTCTATGGAAGAGTAGATTATTTATGTTCTATTTACAATCTCTTTTTCTTATGTAAAGTATTGCTTTCTGGGCACAGTGGGCAATCTGTAATAAATCATTAAAAGGCAATTATAGTTTGCTTCATTTAACTTTGATCTTCTGGCAGAATTGTAGATATAAACCATATATGAGTTGGTTTGATCTTGAGTCAAAATTTGATCTTGAGTCTGTAGGAGTTTATTAAAGAATTATTTGTAGTATTTTTACTCTTACTGTAGAAAATGCATTGTAAATGTGTATTTTGATTAAATTTAATTCAACCCAGTTCTCTTTTTTCCTTAGCTCAGATTTTGAAAAACTTACTAAGAATCTAAAAATATAATTTAGGACTATATCTTTTTTAAAGCAATATAAAAGGAAGAATGCATTATTATAGATCAAACTTTGCATCTAGGAGGAAGGCAATTTTGTTTTTCAATAGTCAAAGCATCAAATTGTATATAACTATTAAGTGCAAATATTTGAAAGAGTCTTGTGTTGAAAACATGGAATAAATGAAACCTTGCCAGCTCTTGTCTACCACATGCATGCTGGATCGAACAAGGAAAAATAATTTATTTCCTCTGAGTTGGTTTCCTGAACATAATTATTTGTTAAATACTTGGCATTCCCTATCAAAGGAATGTCATGTAAGTCTGTAAGCTGCTTATATGATAAACAACACAACCATCTAGACTTGTTTCATTTATGTAGAACAGAGAGATGTAATCTCAAACTAAGTATTTTCTTTTGAAAGCTTCTGAAAAATTCCTTTCTTCCCCAAATTTCTTAGTTCTGTTTTATTGTTGGCTGTTACCCTGAAGATGTTGAATGGTAATTTTTCTCTCACTGTCATAATCACATGTGAATCTCATGAAGGTTGTTGTAAGTCTTTGCCTTCATATTAATTTAATCGAATTAGTGCAAATGTTTAGGCAAGAAAGGTCCTCCAGCATATTTTCTTTTAATTCTCATTGTGTGACAGATGTATAAATTACTTTTTTTTTTTTTTTTTTCCCCTGAATGCATGATGCAACAGACAACAAAGGGATTATAGAATCACCCCTTTTGGGTTGGAAAGGACCTTAAAGATCATCTAGTTCCAAACCCCAGCCACGGGCAGGGACACCTTCCACCAGACCAGGTTGCTCAAAGCCCCGTCCAGCCTGGCCTTGAGCCCTGCCAGGGAGGGCGCAGCCACAGCTTCTCTGGGCACCCTGGGCCAGTGCCTCACCACCCTCACCATGAAGAATTTCTTCCTTATATCTAATTTACATCTATCCTCTTTCAGTTCAAAGGCATTACCTACCCCTTGTTCTCTCACTACAAGCCCTTGTAAAATGTCCCTCTCCAGCTTTCTTGTAGGTCCCCTTTAGGCAGTGGAAAGTCGCTATAAGGTCTTCCTGAAGCCTCCTATTCTCCAGGCTGACCAACCACAACTCTCTCAGCCTGTTCTCATAGGAGAGGTGCTCCAGCCTCCTGATCATCTTCATGGCACTCCACTAGACTTGCTTCAACACGAGGGGAATATGAGGGAATAAAGTGTCTCCACTAGGATTCTTTCCAATGATTAGCTGGTAGGTGGGGATGAAAGAAAAGAGAATTCTGTTTCTCTTCTTTGCCCATAAAACTTAGAAATAAGTGGAGAGAAAATAGGGGAACAGAAGTTTATTTTGACATGTCAAATGGATTTAGATGGGCATGGAAGAATTTTGGTATAATCCTTACCTTCACTTTTCTCGTTATGTACTGAGTCTTGATAGGGCAAGAACTCTGCCTTTTTGTGAGTAACTCAACGTACAGCTTTTTGGATTCCAAATATGAGTTCCTGAAAGAAGACACTTGGTTCTAGCTTCTCTCATATAAACGCTCCCTTTCCTTTTCTTCACTGTCTTGATGCAGTACTTCTGTACCATTCTGATGTTCGCTATCTGGGACCTGCCTCCATCCAATATATTAACACATAACATTCATGAATAATTATATTAATATGTGATGAGAGTGATAAGAACAGGAGACATTTGGGAGTATTCACTTTGTTGCCAGGAGAACAAATGTTGAGACTGACTCTCAACTGGATGGAAGGGGAGTTGCAGACTTCTGCCACAAGGCAGAAATTTTGGACAACATAAGATGAAATTTCCAGCTTCAGGTGAAGGTATCACATTCTGTCCAGCTGCTTGGGAATGGCAGCAAGTTATTTTACAGATAGAAAACAAAATCAGGCTATAGTGCATTCATCTTAGTATGCTTCAATTATGTGGATAAAATCTGGTATCGGATTCCATATCTTCAGAGTATATGTCATTACTTGTACAACAAGGTTATTGAACTGGAATTCTAATTGTCTTTCAAAGCAATAATATCCCACAGAACATTTTTACTATTGAATTACAAAGCTCAGTTACAATAGCAACATTTTTTATTTTGAACCTGGACTTTTAGGATTTGAATACCAGAGCAGAATTTTGTTTTCTTCCTAATGTTGACACAGAATTTCAGCATCTCAGAGTGAGATAAGGGATTTCATGCAGTTAGTTCAGGGAGATGATAAAGGAGAGCAAAATGAAAATTGAAATGTCAGAGGCAATACTGAAATTTAATAGGAGAAAACCACACTCTCTAATTTTCTGTTTGTTTCATTCAAATATCCACGATTTGTAGTGATTTCTTAACTGCTACCATTTGCTATGTTTATTAATCTTACTAGTCTTTAACTCAATTTATGTAATATACCTTCAGGTGTTTGGAGCGTAAAGGAACTAGTATTAAAGTACCTTCTGCTCAGTATGAAGTAATAGTAGTTACCAGATGAAGTCTCTTACCTGTAGTATAAATCCCTTTAATTACAGATGCAACCTTGGAGTGTTGATATGTTAATAAAGCAGTATTATTCTCACTGTAACTCTACCTTTTGGCTACTTCATTTTATAACCACACTGTTTTAACTGAAGTCCTGCATCAAGCTAGTTGTTATTTTTCAACTTCCCTTTTAAAGGAAAGAATTTTGGCTGTGCACTTTTACATCTCTCAAGCTTTAGGGACACCGATATATTAATATTAGCCTATCTATGTACAGCACATTTTTTCCAGCTATGTCTCATGTCCAGTGTTGTATGTTATATGGGTGAAACACAACTGATCAGTCAGAAAGCTTAATTAAAAATAGGGAACAATCATCACGTATCTACAACTCTAATGGAGTACTTTCAACCAACAGATTGAGGAAAGTTGTCACTGATAGGATTTTTAAGAATGGTGAGGATGTTTGTTGATGGACATAGAGAAATTAGATACCTAGAGAAATTTGGATAGTTGTAATTGCCCTATAAGCAGGACATGGGTAAGTAATCACATCTCAGTGCACTAGTGTGAGAAGTCATGAATTCAGAGATATAAAGAATACATGAATAAAAAGTGGACTTTGAAGACACTAATAGAAGCACTAATTCTGAAAAGGTAAAGATATTAGGGGGATATTCTGTTGAACAGGTGCTCTTAATGTAGCATTGATGAAAGGATGATATAGGCAGAAAAGTAGTAAGCCCAAATAAGCAGGAAAATATATAAAAAAAAAGGTAAAGAGGTATGTATTAGGAGATGAAGAATATTTGTGCAAGAATTGAAGGAAATTGAAATACAAGAGCAATATGTAGAAGAGCATATGCAGTGAATGTTACAGGCACTGGATGTGTGCACTGCATAGAAAATGATGGAAATAATAAAAGTAGTGTGGTAGGGGTATTTCCTAAAGAGTTTCTTTTAAATAAAAAGGTAAAAGAAGTGGAGAACAGGGCTCTGCTTTCATCAAAATCACTTTGAAAAAATTCTTCAAAGATGGAGCTGGAAGCCTGCTGTAGATACTTGAGGTCGAATTTTCAATATAGATATAAGTAATACTCTTAGATAACTGGTTGTGAGAATTGTATTATTCCACTAGAAATTATTACAAACTGAAGGCCTCTGTTATTTCTGAATATGGTAGTTGCCTAATTTACTTGCTGAATAGCTGCTTTAACACCAAGAAGAGGCACTTCTTTAGTCAATTAATGAGGAGTTATAGAAAACATGTTCAAAGAAAGTAAGCCTGGATGAAATTGTCAAAAGTGGTCTTCGTTTAAGTTAAATAGCATGATAAGTAATAATGAAAAAAAGGTGATACATGTTAGACCTTCATTCCAGAATGGGGAGTTGTGGTGAACTACAGGAACTGGTTAGTGAATTTAGGTGGACTAACACACTTAGGTAATGCTGAGGATTTGAGTAATGAAAATGGAGCAATACTAAGCAATAAAAAATGCAATATTCTTCACTTTTACAATAACGATAATTTCTGTCAGGAGATGGGGGTTTATAAACTGATAAGAACTGATAAGGAGAGCTCTTCAGTGTAGCAGGCAGAGATATTTCAAATATCAAAACCTGAAAATTTGGCCTAGATAAATACAGGTTAAAAAAGAGGTACTTTTGATAGCAAGAGCAATTACTAAAATAATTTGTCAATGACTGAGCTAGATTTTTATTGCAATGATTTTTCTAATTGGGAGTAAGCATTTTTCAAAATACAGATTTTGAACTCAAACTGGAGTTCAGAATATGCCTGTGTATTTGGTTTGTGTGGCAAGATTTTGGTAGTGGGAGGGACTACAGAGGCGGCTTCTGTGAGAAGCTGCTAGAAGCTTCCCCCATGTCCCATAGAGCCAGTGCCAGCCGGCTCAGAGATGGACCTGGCGCTGGCCGAGGCCGAGCTCATCGGTGACAGTGGTAGCACCTCTGGGATAACACATTTAAGAAGGGAAAAATACCCTGCACAACGGCAACTGCATCTGGAGAGAAGAGTGAGAATTTGTGGGAGAAACAACTCTTCAGACACCAAGGTCAGTGAAGAAGGAGGAGCAGGAGGTGCTCCAGGCACCAGAGCAGAGTTTCCCCTGCAGCCCCCGGTGAAGACCATGCTGAGGCAGGCTGTGCCCTGCACCCACGGAGGTCCATGGTGGAGCAGATACCCACCTGCAGCCAGTGGAGGACCCCACGCTGGGGCAGGTGAATGCCCAGAGATGTCTGTGACCTCATGGGAAGCCCACACAGGAGAGGGCTCCTGGCAGGACCTGTGGACCCGTGGAGAGAGGATCCCATGCTGGAGCAGATTTGCTGGCAGGACTTGTGACCCTGTGGGGGACCGACGCTGGAGCAGTCTGTTCCCGAAGGACTGCAGCCTGTGGGAGGGACCCACACTGGAGCAGTTCGAGAAGAACTGTAACATGTGGGGAAGACTCACATTGGAGAAGTTCATGGAGACCTGTCTCCCATGGAAAGGATCCCACACTGGAACAGGGAATTAGTGTGAGGAGGAAGGAAGAGCAGAAACAGACAGTGATGAACTGACCACAACCCCTATTCCCTGTCTCCTTGTGCTGCCAGAGAGGGAGGAGGTAGAGAATTCATGTCAAGTTAAGCCTGGGAAGAACAGACAGGTGGGGGGAAGGTGTTTTAATTTTTATTTTCTCATTACCCTACTCTGATTTAACTGGCAATAAATTAAACTAATTTTCTCCAACTTGAGTCTGTTTGGACCATGACAGTAATTGCTGAGTGATCTCCCTGTCCTTACCTCAACCCACGAACCTTTTGTTATATTTTATCTCTCCTGTCCAGCTGAGGAGAAGAGTGATAGAGCAGCTTTGGTGGGTACCTGGCATCCAGTCAGGGTCAACCCACCACAATCTGGGTGTTATATAGCATCATCCGTTACTAGAGGTGTAATGGTCCATGTCTGCTGAGAGAGACTTCTTTCCAGGTCTTGTTACTTGTCCGAAGTTCATTCTTGCTCTTGAATTCCAGGCACAAGAGTCACCTATATTTATTTACTGGAACAAGCCTGTCCTTAGCTTGTGTTAGATGATGCTCAATACCAGTTGAAACTTTTAAACCAGAAGAGAAATTTAACATAGTGAAGAAAAGGTGTCAAAGCAGGAAATCAGAGCGTGTGAGTAGATCTGTAGATCAGGTTTAGCAAACAGGTTCCCTGTGTGCTTCAGCTGCGTTAGGAGCTGATAAACTATCCCTTGGGGGCAGCTTCCCCTTGGTGCTCTTCTCTCTCTCTCTCTCTCTCTGTTGAGTATGCAATCTGCTGTCCTCTCACCTTCTTACTTTAATTTATCATGGCTTGTACTGTCTTTCAGTGTAAATATTTAAAGTGTGCAAGCTCATTCTCCCCTTCCTTAGAAGCTTCTGTAAGTTTACAGTGCTGTTTTGCACTTCATTCAGTGTGTGTTAAATAGCTTTCTTCCTACTAGTAGTGTTTTCAAGGCCGATACCAAATTTTTGAAGTAAAATAAGAAGCATTTACAGCAGAAAAATATGCTCAAACCATCTTTCACTCTTAGCTCTTTGTGGAGAGTAAATGAACAGTAGTAATTATATGGATGTTAAATTAGTATCAAGAATGTATTTTCCGTCAGCATTTGTCATTTTCATGGACTCATATCACTTCTAGTTTAAGAACATGAGAAGAATTAATTCTTTCTTCTAATTCACAGAAGTACTTTACTCTGTATCATACAGCACTAAGGTGACAAAACAGCCTCTTCCAGTCTTCTTGAATTGGATCTCTTCCTCTGGATCATTTGGGTCAATTAAAATAATTTCAACAGAGGCAGATTTTCAGACTCTTCACTGGCTCTTAATATCTTTAATAATCTTACTCAGAGCAGTATGGAAAAGGCAAATTGAACTCCGTGGCACATTACAGGAGAGCCCTTGTGGCAGATCAAGTACTGCTTGCTGCAAGCTGGAATTTAATAAAATTGACACAGCCCTGATTCAAAACTGGCTCGCTGACAGATCTCAAAATTTAGTTGTTAATAAGGAAATATCAGTGGTTGCACCGTCTATAGTGGGGTCTCATAGGAAAGTCTTGATGAAGAATAATGATATTTTGAATTATTTCAGCAAAGAAATTTTTTAGTAAAGTTGGCAGATGACACAAAAGCTGTTGGAAAGTGAGAGACTGTATCTGCAGAGTAGTCAGCTCCTTCAGTAAAACTGGAGATACAAAATTTGAGAGGGGGAAAAAAAAAGAGGTGGGGGAGAGGATGCCTGTCTGTTATGTTTCAAGGTGAGCAATTCTGCATAATCAAGCAGTGATTTAAGGGAAAACTTAAATAGTTTGTGTTGTATAAGATCTTAGCTATGCACCCCCTGAGCATTGCCCTGGTATAAGTCCCCTTTTGAAAAAGAACACAAGTATAAATCTGGAAATGTTGAAGCAGCACTGATAACACTTACAGAAATTTCCAGTTCTGGTGTCCACATTTCAAGACAGATATGGAAACAATGGAGCAAGTTTAGAAGTTAAAGATGAACAGATTATCTGTGGATTGCATTTGCAGTAAGTGGTATGAACTATTCAGCATGCTGAAGGCAAGTTTCAGAGGTGACCTTAATCACTGTGTGTAGGTACTTGCGTCTGAAGAAGAGGTTTGAAACATGGCTAGGCAGTGCTGAAAGTTGGAGTCAAAGACTTGAACCTCAGAACAAACCAAGATTCCCTAGCACTAAGGAGAATTAAACATTTCCTACTAATATGTGGAAAAAAATAGTGGATTCAGCATTGCTTGAGCAATGAGGCAAATTACACTTTGATCCACCTCCTTGTGTTCTAGTCTAGCAGTGGCATTGCTGTTATGTAAATAAATAGGGTTGCAAAATTAAAGGAAGAGAACATCTATTTATGAGATGTGGCATATGTAAAATATGTTATATATATGTATATGTACACACAGGCATTATATACTTCTTTTACTCTGATTTTTCAGTCTGTGGATATGAGTACTTATGTTGCCCCCCTTCCTTTATGAGCCCTGCAGATACTAAAAACATTTGCAGCTCAGGAAGCACTTATTCTTTTTTCCCCCCAGGAAATAGATTGGTTTGCAGAGTCTGTTTAAACTTTCTGTCAAGCATGCTGGGGACAGGATGGTGATCAAGTGACTTTGTGCTCCGTGGTTGTACAGAAAATCCTTTGTGCAGCCTCATTGTCTTGCTGTCAGGCTCAGGGTCACACCCATAATCGGATTTGGAATCTGGGTGAATTTTCTCCCAAGTGAGATTGGCAGGGAAAAGGTATCTTAGGATATTTAGGAAATGTATCTTGCCTGTCATTGTAGCTGGCAAGGATGTTAATGATACCTTGTTTCTGTGTGGCTGTTCGAGTTTTAGATTTCTGAGATTTGAAAAATCCTCTAAGATTTTAGGACTGTTACAGAGCGCTTGGGTGATCTCTGATGGTTTGCAGTATAAAGAAGTCAAATCTGATGACTGAGGATCCCTCTCCTATGAAATAAAAGTGCCCTTTTGTTTGCACCTTCCCCTCTCTCTATCTGCAGGTGGACAGAGATGCTTCATTTTAATGTGCTAGATCATGAAAGAAAGACCAGCAGAGCTTTATTATTAACTCTCTTCATTCCACTGGGGACGAGGACATATGTCCTCTTGTGTCCGCATTCTGGCTCTCCAGTACAAGCTAGAAGAAAATGCTTGGTAAATTGATGAGGTTAAAATGCATCCTGACCTCTTCCATTTGTACCTTTTCCACCTGTAAACCTGTTAGGAAAAAACTGAATTACCAGTGCCACCTGTAATTGAGAAGTGAATTTCATGGAAAGTCAGTGAGACTTTGTGCCCTTCTGTAAATGGACAAAGTAAGAGAATATATTTTTAAAACAGTTGTGGTTTTTTTTTTTTTTTTTTTTTTTGTCTGCCCAGTGAGAGTGGTTTCCTTGTGTTTTTAAAGAAAAATAAGTTTGGAAATGTTTAACTTTTAAATGACTTTCACTTGAGAAGCTTTCAATTTGGTGTTTGAAGCCATGTATTAATCAAGCTGATGAAAGGACATTAGTAATCCTTAGGTGTGCTACAATCACATGAATTGAACAAATCTGTGGTGAAAAGTTATTTTATTTTAGTTACACATTTTCAGTAGGAATTGACAGAAAGCACTGCATATTGATTTCTTACAGCTGATAAAAGCATCTGCTCTCAGACCTCATGGTTTGTTGTAAAAGCAATTTTTTTCCAAATATTTGTTTTCTGTCTGATTAAATTTTTATGTTGGGAGACAGTTGGTTTTGTTTTTGTTTTTGTTTTAGTTTTTGTTTTTGTTTCTTTTTTTTCATTTCCTTTCCCTTTTATATCTGTCTTATAAGATATAAGATATATGCTGTTCACAAAGCACAGGTGGGGATTGCATTACAGAATAAAAAATTCATGTTGATAATTCTAACAATTCATATGGAATAAGGGAGCCAAGTCATATATGATCTTTCACAGAATGAACAAGCCAGAGATTTAATTATTCTGAATCTAATAAAAGAATATCAGATTTTTTGTTGTTTTAGAAAATAGGTTAAATTACACTAACAATGTACAGAGTTAATTAAATATGTAATTATTATGGTTACTGTTTTATTTAGTGAGAACTACGGTAATTGAAACAGATGTCTATGTTAACAGCATTGGCCCAGTTGACCCAATCAATATGGTAAGTTCTGATTATTGACAGAAAACATTATCTGAATGATGCTATGGGTTAATATTATGGAATAATTCTAATCTCAGTCAAATAATTTTCTTTATTTTTTTACTGTATATTTTTATTCTGTTGGATATGATTGTGATTATTGCAGAAACATGTTTAGACTCTCTTTATTTGAAATTGTAATTTTAAAAATATATTTCTTCTTTAAAAAAAAAAATTAAGCCATACAGAGGACATTGTATCAGGTCCTTATTTTGGTCTGTGTTGAAGATTTTCACTGGATTTGTTTATACCTGGTTTATCTCTGGCCAAGTATAATATCCTGGAGCTACTCTTCAGAGATTTAGAAAAATAATTGATCCAGCACTTGTGAGTAAAACTATTTTCAGTGCAGTGATTATTATTTTTCAAGAAAAAATTGAAATGAACTCTTCTGTCCTTCTTTTTCATGTATTTTTTAGTCTTATGGGTTCTCTTCAGTGTGTGTGTGTGTGTGTGTACACATAGCTGTTTTCTTCAGAAGTTAAGCAATGCATCTCATCTAGTTGATGGTAGACCTATTGAAAGCTGACCTATCTATTTGGTACCAAAACTGAAGTAACAGCACTTTTCCATTTCCATGTCTGGTATAAGTGATGTCTTTGGTTTTGTCTGTCTTCCTTCTGCAGTCTTTCTCTTTTGCTTCTCTCCATCCTGCCCTCTTCTGAAGGAACTTATTCTGGGAGCAAAATGTGTGGACAGGCAGCTACCTATAAGGAGGGTATAGCAAATAGTAGAGGCTTCCTTTGAAGTAGCCAGTCTAAGTCCTTCAGCTTGTGGCCAGTAGGTATTGCATACAGTGGAAAACTGAAAATGAGAAATACTTACCGCTTCACTTTTCCCATTTTAAAGAACCGGCATGTGGCTGGCTTTGCAGGGTAGCCGTGTCCCGACTCCCAAGCCCTGTCATCTCAGTAGCCCCTGGCAGTCTCCTCACTGCTATGTACTGTGGCCTCTCCTGTGCCCACAGCTGCCTTCTGCTTGCTCAGCCCACAGCCCGGGAGGCAGCGTTATCACCGCCACACTTGCCATAATGACAGTAGCAGCCATGGCACTATTTCATGTCACTCATTTAGAGGTGTCCCCACATCTGATAGAGCTTTCTTGGAGCTGGGTGGTGATGCTCTTGCCGTGATGCTAATAAAAGCCAGTCATACTGACTTTTAGTCCAAGGTAAGGATGGCACCGTATTGAAAAGGCATATTAAATCATTAGACAGCTGGATCCTAATGGTTATAATGTATATCAACTGAATGTTTATCCCTCTAACCTTAGCATTTCTGTTTTAAAAAAAAAAAAAAAAAAAGGTAACAGTGAAGCATGCCATCAAAGGGTAATAAGGTGAAGGTCATTACGGTATAGAACTTAAAAACTATTCTAAGGTTTTTAAAAATGGGCAGAGAACTACTTGGCAATTTAAATTAGAGTCTAAGGGCACTATGGCCTTCATAAAAGAGCAGTTGCTTTCACTGGACTTGGAGTCCAGGAACCTGAATCATATAAGCATCTAACATCACGACAAAAATCAAATGTTTGTGAAAATAACTAAAACCATATGTATGCAAATAATTTGATTAAGGCTTCCAAAAAAGATGGTTTTAATCTGGGGAACAACACTCTCAGCAAAAATATAATTACAGATTTGACCCTGCAAGCTCTCTTTATGTGAGCTGTTGGTTTCATTAGGAAGGCACTTTCCCTGGAGTCAGTGTTGTTTGGGACTGTTAACCAATAATCCAAAAATTCCTTCCATTTCAAGGGCCATCCTTAGCCCTTCATTTGATCACCTAATGTGAGAACATGTATCTATGATTCCCCATTGTATTACTTGTTTGCCAGATAAGTTAATTCACTCTGGCAAATGATGTTCTTTAACTATTTAGTTTGGATATAATATGGCATGATGTAGAGAGTGTTTTTTCTAAGTGATGCTGATGCAGCATATCAAGGGAGTGTGTTTGTCTGAAAGCTTCAGAGGACACATATTATGAGAGGAAACAGATTTATTTTTATAATTCAGTCTATTTTCCTCTTGCCATCTGATAGACTTTCACTTTCATAAAAGAGACTCTTTAATTATATATATGACATTAGAATTTGTTTTTGAAGACTGTTGTGTTTTGGCTTTCATTATTTAACAAAAATCTACATAAAATTATAGATGGTATAGACACCCCATGCTTACGAGATGTTTTTCTACAGCATGTGATCTCTTTAGGCATCTGCAACCTGAGTAAACATTTTTAACAAGCATCTGGATCAGCAGAGTATTTAGGCTTCTAATACTCATTAAGTCTATAAAGATTTTTTAAATCCATCTTTCAGAGCTAACCTATGCTATGCATCACTCAACAATCATGTAAAATGCAGATAAGTGCATTTTTATGGCCAAAGTCTTGATCCTCAGTAGCTCTGCAGTGGCCTAGGGATTTCTTAGCAGAATTTAGGCATGTGATGAATATTTAGAGCCTCGTTTTCCTCTGTGTGGAAGCTCATTCAGCTGAGTTCTTAATGTAGATGTAGTAGGCTCTTACTAACTTTCTCTTTCCTTCTAAACAAGGACCAAGATGAAAAAAAGCCACTCTGGTGGTGCAAGTAGCAGAGTCTAATATATGGTCCCTGTGTAGAAATGCATGTTGATTCAGGTTGCCTCTGGGCCTCATTAGCTTTCTTTGTCCTGTATTCATTGCCCAAACCCTATGTGTTCATAAATATATAATGTCATGTGCTACTGGTGCCCCAAGGGGCCCAGGGGAGAACAATACCAGCACCACAGCTTTTGTGATTTTACAAGATCTTGCAAGTATGTAATTCGGTGGTTTGGGAAAGGCATGGCAGCCCTCCAAGACATTTTTACCTTCCTTTTAACTAGGAGAATACCTAATCTTGTAATTTCTGTTTTGTCAAAACTCTTGTGACAATAAAAGGCTGCTACCCCAAATGAGAGAAATTTTTGGAGAAGGAATACATGAGCAATTCTTTAAGTAAGAAGCAGTCTTGCATCGTGTCAAAAATGAAGAGCAAGGTTTATACTTTTCTTGTCCTAATGGCTATTTAATCAAGTTTCCTATGGTCAATAGTAGAGCAATACCTAAGTAAAAAAAATGGGCAAAGGGTTAGAAATAGGAAGATCATTTCTGTAGAGGTGCATAGACATCATGACTAATAGATAGACTAAAAACTAGCCAAAGGAGAATACTCTACCTATCTGTCTGCATCTCTCTGTGTGTAAGTGTATACATATATAAAGATGTATGTTTACAGAAACAAAATTACATTTTAAAATTCCTTTGCTCTTTCATATGTTTCTAAGTCCTGATTTAACATATTGAAACATGATGGTATCATTGCCATTTTAATGTGTTCGAGAGCTACATATTTTTTTCTTCACTTGTGGATGAAGATGATGCTCTCTATTCAGCTTTTGTATTTATTAATTGAACTCAGTATTAGAAAGTCCAGACTGAAATTTCCAGGATAAATTTATAGGACTGCACTTCACAGAAGCAGTTTGGTTTCCTTTTTATTTTCCAACATTTCTGTTTCTTCTGTGGATATATATTTTTTACCACATCATCTTTGCTGGTTATCCACTGAAGGCTACTGTGACCGCAAGCTGAAGGCCATACTTTGAAGCCTAGCACTCTTATTTTTAACAAGATAGCTAAACCACTGAGCAAATCAGATATTCGCAGAATACACAATGTGCTACTTTGGTACACAGACTGCATGGCCTGAACATGGTTAGGATACAATTTTCCCTGTTATACTGTACCATTTATGACTTTGTGTAGAATGTACTGATGCTGAATTTTAAGTCTATTTTGACTTCTGAATTCCATTTCATTCTCAGTTTGCACTAACTAGCAGCAGATTTTAATTTTTTTTTTTTTAAGATATTCAAGTATCAATGTGATCAGTGTCGTAATACAGATTGCTCATTGTTATTGTACTTGTGGAGAATGGTTAGTGGTCAGGTGTGTCATTGCACTTATTTTACTTGTCACTGAATTTGTATTGAAGGTTTGAAGGTTTTGTACTCTTACTTTACAGTGCCAGGTAATTTACATTAAACACACTAGAATATAAGTAATCGTGACCCAGAGGTACATTATCTGAAGGCCATGCTGAGATCCGTTACTTAGATGTGCACTCTTTGTGTGCGTTGTGCTGTAAATCAGTGTATTTTAAACTCTTTATGCTAGTTACTATTCAAATTTAATAACTGTAATTAGCAAGGCCCCGATCCTTTAGATGTCTAGGCATGTACTTCAGTTTACATGTGTGAACCATGTCACATTGACTTAAGCATTTAACAAACACAATAGGAAAAAATCCAAAGAAGTGTACAAAAGGAAAGAAAGATATAAACTCTCTCCCTGTCTGTTTGTTACAGAGAGCTGTCTGTCTAAGTGAACATAAGTCCATACAAGAAACATAAACATAATAAATCACAATGTTATTCAAATGCCTCAGCGTACAGTAATATTTCAGGACTGGGTGAACACTGCTTGATAGGGATTGTTGTGGTTTGTGAACTGCATTTGAAGTTTTTACTGGAGGTTGGAATTGCTTTCATGTTTGAAGACGACCATTTTGAGGAGAACCATTGTCTCTATGAGCTTTAGATGACAGACCGAAAGGAAGAGCATGAGGGATGCACTTCTGCCCATATTTGAGGATTTATGGGATTCCCTAAGGTTGTGTGGGTAAGGCGTGCAAGCACTGCAAATTTTCAGTGTCAAGTGTGTGCATTTTATGCAAACTGATTTCATTCTTTTTCAAATGGCAGGAGTATTTGCTCATAAATCAGGACAGAAGTACCAAGTCTTTGAATATTACCTGTTTCTTATTGTACAACATCTTCTTTGGAGTGAGATAGAATGATATTTTTTTTTTCCTGACTTGCTCTTTTATTTTGATTAAGAAAGATAGATTCCGATGATTTTGGTGCCTGTGAGCAT